AACTGGCCCGTCCTCCTTTAACACGCCGCCGCTTCTTTCATCCGAATTCGAACGATCAGATTTATTTGTCCGGGCACGTGTTGGTTCGTTTTCTTCACGTTTACGTTCTGAAACGAATGACTGGTGTTCACAAAATGCTCTCTGTGTCGAGATCCGTTCATACCACGCCATATATTATATACACTGTATATAAATTAAAAAATCTTTTTTCTTTCAAAAACCCATCCCCTACATGTGTGCACAATAAAGATTGAAGGAAATGCCCTCGAAAACAATCGACGTCATTTTATCGGATTTATTTCATTAACTAACTTTCCTTTGAAATCCTGAGCTTTTCACACGCCGAACTCGAACACTGTGACGATCCACATTCAAACCATCTTCTATAAATATTAACATTGATTTTAATAAAAACTCTACATCAATTTAAATAAGAATAAAAATAATAATAATCACCTAAAATATTATTTTTTTTCTTTCTTTCTTTAAATAAAAGGTATTATGCTTTGGAGTAGAACATTACCTCCCTATAAGGAGCGCATTAAAAATATTGAACAGTTATTCAATTCACATGACTAGAAAATTGGTAAAGAAATATACATATTTGGGGGGGGGCTCATTTAGGGGATGTGTGTAGTACACTAATGAGGGTGCAGAGGAATGAACGACTTCCTAGAAGAAACCCTTTTGATCCCAACCTTAGATCTGATCCCATTCAATTCAAAGAGGTTTACAGTTTAGAATGATAATGATGAAGAATATCTAGAACAGCTCGGACGGCGTTTCATCGTCAGGTCTTTAACATTGAAAAGATCACGGTGTTGTGCTGAGTGGAGTGCACTAGGTAGGGAGCACGAGCGCCTGTTTGACATGGGGCCATTCGGGAATCGTTCCTCTTGTGTAAGAACCTACGTACATGCAGCCATACATACTTACATCTAGGTTAACTTCAAATCTAATACAGATTCGTGCACGTTGTAGGATGATGTGGGATGAAGAGTGAGGAATGAGGAACGAGGGCCTGGCCCTGCCTACCAGGAGCTAATTAAATTAGCTAGCTAGCTCAGAGAACGGCTAAAGCGCGTTTTCTTAACCCAACCACTTTGAGACGAGCCCCGCCCCTTAGACAAGAAGTCGGTCTGATTTGGATAACGCGACGTCGTACAGACGGCTATCCATTGGCGTCACGAAAAACCGTGAAGGACTAACCAATCGCGAACGTGGAGGCGGGGTTTGTCGGAATACGGGTGTGAGGGGGGAAAATAACGTCAGCTAGCTACCGTGGCTCCAAATGACTTAGCCAAAGAACGTTAGCAAGTCAGTGTGAGGCTAAACGGTATATACACAGAGCTAGGAGTGACCGCGCTGTCAGTTAGAAATGACACCGGAGCCCGTCATGCTGAAAAGGTTAGCCCGTTCACAGGCTAACAGCTCGGACCCTACCTGCCGTATATGCCCTCGGTGATTCGGTTCCGTTTTAACGGCCGCCGGAGTTTGCTGCAGTCCGCATTGCGCCGCTTCATCCTCCTTCCCTTCGCTTAGGCGTTTTAATACCTAGCGTAATATGGTCCAGTTTTTCGTCTCGGTCCAGCGGAACAACATTGAGGTCCCCCAGAAGGAAAATAGCTAGCTAGGGTTAGCTAGCTAGCTATCGCTGTTGTTGTTGTTATTATTATTATTATTTAAACCCGACTGGAAACAAAGAAATAAATAAAAAGCCTCGCTGGAAGACCCTCCTCTTTTCTCCTCGCGACGCACGGCAGCCTCGAAGACACGCGCGAGCCTGTTGACGGACAGCCGCACGGACCAATCCCCTCCGAGCTCGGTCAGACTCGCGATCACATCGATTGATTGATAGCTAAAGCTGGAAACGTCGCGCTGGGCTAATCTAAGCAGCGCCTTGTGTTGTCACGGCCCACACAAAAAAAAAACCCAGATATCTGACAACCTTAGAGACAACCTTTTTCCGCTCCACCAATCTTTTTCTTTGTGGACAAATCAGGTAGTGACAACCGGCCAATCAGATAGCAGCGTAGGCGGGTCTTAGTGTCGACCGCCCAATAAAGTCGCCAAGGGGGCGGGGTCGATAAAACTTACGCTGTTCTCCTAGAAAATGCGTCTCTACGTACGCTGTTGGCGTAAACGTGCTCTAGCAAGCTTTTGACAGCCGACAACAATAGAAAAATTTCACACAAAAACAAATCGCAGCGTCTAATAACGACAGTAATGCACGACCTGAGTAATGAGTCTGAGTTAAATAAATAAATAAAAAGCTATTATTCATGATTTGATAACTGTCTTTCTGCTAATAAAAATAGCAGGTAATATATTATAATAAAAATAAAGAATATGTTACATTCTAGACAATATTTTACAGTGCATTTTTACAGGTTTTCTCATTGAACAGTTACAAGCAAAAGGCACTTAAGGAATATTATACATTAGATATTTAGATATTGGCGACAATAATGTACAAAGAGTGAGAATGATTGGTACAAGAAATAATTAGGGGTCCAAGCACGGAAGGCAGTAGAACCCTATTGTTTTTGCTAAGCTTTGTTCTTCTTATTCTTTTAAAATTGCCTCCTCTGAAAGGCAAAACAAACAAACAAAAAAACAAACAAACCGCCTTTTGGATTATTTAGTTCCCTGTCCACTCAAATCTGTGATCATTTAAAGAATATGATGATTAGTTGTTAGTTATTAACATCATTTTAATTAACATAACTAGTTATTAACATCATTTTGTTCTGCGCAGCTTGGCGAGAACCATTTGGGAAGAGTGCTTGGACCCCGCGGATTACTGCTTGCGACTTATATTCCTACAATTTTGGAACCACAATCATGCAAAATATTTTATGTATGAATTATTATATACATCCTACATATTTCTTTTTATATTCCCTATCCATACCAGTGGATATGGAATATAAAAATAAATATCTAGGATGTATATATTCATTCAGGAGAACTTTGCTTGCATAGCCAATGAAGAAAACTTTGTGTACTACAATTATATGTCCATCACGTCCATGATGTCTGTAATATCGAGCAACATTGGTTTCAAGAAAGGTAGTCTGTGAATATAAGTTGATTGTTTTAATTTGCAAATAAAAGATTAGAGCTGCAAAATAAGCAAATAACCATCAGTTATATAACCAAGGTAGCAGAACCCTGACAAGTCCCCCTGCTGTTAAGGACACTTGTACATGCGGTTCTCCACCCTGGTTAGTACAGCTTGAAGAAGAGCTGAGCGAAGGCGTGCAGGCAGTAACAGAGCCGTGAATGTTCTCTCATGGCTCCAAAATATGCTCCCAATCTTCGAGCCCGGCTTCCACCTGTGGCTCTTTTTCTGCAAATCACCTTTATTGTCATTTTTGCCTTTTGTGTGGAAATAAAGCAGGAAAAGGAAAAGGAAAAGGAAAATGAAAAACTGTTCTTTTATTCATATGCAAGTAAGTGGATTATGCATTAAATGGATGTGTACAGTTATACACGTGTGTGCATTAAGTCCTAGATATATTGTTTACACAATTTTAAACAGACACACAGATCTGTAATGTGTTTAATCAGCAATTTGGGACATATTCTATATTCTTTTCTCTTTCTTTAAGGAATCAGTTTACTCATAATCGCCTCTGCTGTGCTTATTTGTAGCGTTAAACATGTCCAAATGTGTGCTGGTGTCATCTTAGAATTATATATACGCAATATAAAGCCATTTACGTTTATTTATGTCCACACATTCAGTGTAAAAGTGTGTAAGACTGCCATGTCGTTGGGGTGGGGATGGGATACACCACATGGCTTGGGTGATAAGAGGAATCCACTAAAGACAGGACAACACCTCCACCCCTTAAAACGTCACATGTGATGCCACTTGAGTTTGTAAGCGTTGATGAAAACGGTATTGTTTCCACAATTTTACTGAACACCACAAAGGAAATGTCACAGTCAGTAAATATTTTACGGTTCACGTGATTCGAAGCAGTGTCATCCAATCAAATTATGCAAGGACTACTCTTGCATTGTTTCTGACCTAATTGGTTTATTAGATTCAGATGATCTTGTAAAATCTCACTGCAAATATACTTATTTTATTACCAAAATGAGCTGAACATAAATTGATTCGTTACATTCATTAAAAAGAACAAAAGTGGAGAAGTTAAGCATTTATTTTATATTTGATATATAGACAAACAGCACATTAACATTAGATGAGATCCTTTAAAATCAGGAAGACACAATTTACCTAATTTATCCATATTAAAATATAAATTCTTGTTTTCCCACATAATATTACATCTAAATGTGTTTGTATATATTTGCCATAACATTAAAACCACTGACAGGTGACGAGAATAACATTGATTATCTCATTTTGACAAGGGCCAAATTGTGATGACTAGACAACTGGGTTAGAGCATCTCCAAAACGACAGGTCTCATGGGGTGTTCCTGGTATGCAGTGGTTAGTACCTACCAAAAGTGGTCCAAATCGGTGAACCGGCAACAGGGTCATGGGTGCCTAAGGCTCGCTGATGCATGGGGAGCGAAGGCTAGCCCGTCCGGTTCGATCCCACAGAAGAGCTACTGTAACACAAATTGCCGATGGACAATATATATATATATATATATATAAATGAATATGTATATTATTGATTATGATAAAAATCAATAATATCATTTCATGTTTTTCCATGTTCACTTTGGAATGCTCACTTTTCACAAAATACTAATCCGTCACGCTACAATTGAATGATTCTTTATGATTTTGCTTTTACTATGTTTACCAAAACCTAAAACCATCATCCTCCAAAGCATTGTGCTATAAGTGGTGTCCTAACTATGTAGCTAGCTATATGTTGGCGTCACCCTTCACAATATACCATCAACAGCTACTACAACTCAGATAATTAGTCCTGACACAACCATGGAGTCATTGCATACATAGCAATAATTTCTTCTTCTTCTTTTTTTTTGCTTCGTTATTTATTTCGGGGCAGTGGTGGCCCAATAGTTAAGGCGCTAGGTTACTGATCCGAAGGTCAGGGGTTCAAGCCTCAGCACTGCCAAGCTGTCACTGCTGCGCCCCTGAGCGTGGCCCTTAACCATCTCTGTTCCAGGGGCGCCGTATCATATCTGACCCCAAATTCCTAACAAGCTGGGATATGCGAAGAAAACAATTTCACTGTGTTGTAATGTATGTGACAAATAAAGGCTTCTTATTATTATTCCTTACATTACACATTTAATGTTTTTTGTTTAATCCCGTTTCACGCAGAGTTCCAAGATATCCATGTTATGGTGTTTCTGGGTTTCGGCTTCTTGGCTACGTTCCTGGTGCGCTATGCTTTCAGCAGCTCGGCATTCGGCGTGCTGGTTGCTGCCATGGCCGTGCAGTGGGCCACCATCCTAAACGGCTTCCTGTGGTCTTACCCTTCTGGCCGGAAGATCCAAATCCAGTTAAAAAGGTAATGACTACAAATTCCACTCCACTCCACATCAGACCACATCACACAACTTTGTCATTGATTCTTCTCCTGTCACAGAACGCCCCAAAGTGTTTTATTCCTTACATGCATCACTTACTGTATGATATAAATATGATAGTTACATGACTATCACACTACAATCAGCACTTATTCCTCCTTCAGTTTGGTAGATGCCGAGTTGTGTGCGGCTTCGACTCTCGTGGCAATGGGCGCCATCCAAGGAAAAACCAACCCGGTCCAACTTCTGATATTCGCTCTGATAGAGGTCACAGGGTTTGTGGTAAACCAGTGGATCATAAAAACAATGTTCCGGGTGAGGTGATGGACGCTCTGCTTGAGATACTGTAACTTAGGTTGAATTGGCTACTATGAATGACACGATCGAAGACCATGCCACACTTTTATTGTTCATTTATTTTCTGTTGTGGAACAAAAACCTTGAACTTTTATCAGACACAGATACGGACACATTGGCTGTACAGCATCGTGCTGATCAACATCTTCGGCGCTTTCTTTGGCATGATGACATCGCGCTTGCTTTTCCATAGCGAGATGCAGACAAAGCACGAGAAAGAGAAGGCCGGCAGGACGACGGGCCTCTTTGCAATGTTTGGTGAGTGAATACAACATCTATTCTGCTTAAGTAATCTTAGTCCTGCTTGATTTTTCCCTCAGCAGTTTCCACTGAAAGCGATAATTACGCTTCCAATTATTTAATTAACGACGATCTCTGTTTTCTCACAGGGACTTTGTTCCTCTGGATGTTCTGGCCCAGTTTTAACTCAGCACTGGAGCGAAAAACCAGTGTGATATGTAGCACGTATCTGTCTCTGGCTGTCAGCGCCGTCACAGCAATGGCCGTCTCTGCGCTCTCCAGCTCTAAAGGCAAGATCAACTTGGTGAGTCAAACGTAAACTGATCTTCGGCTGGGTTCGAGTTTCAGAATGAATCCAACCGTCCATACTGACAGTGGGGAGAATTGTTTTTTTTTCCTCAACATAAACCTCTAGCTACTCTACTCTTTCTGCGCATTTCCCTGTACTGAGAAAATCGCAGAAAGTCTCTTATAATGGAGAACACTTTTGTTAGTTCTTTAGCCAAAGGAATTTGTAATCCTTTCGGAGGTAGTACAATTTTTTAAGATGGGATGACTTAGTTAAATGTAGTGAACATACTCGACATGTTTATACACAACCTCGGTGCCTTACATACACGGCAACTAAATTGTTAACTAGTAATAAATCAAGCACTATTTGGACAGGTTTTCCGGACGCTATGAAGTAATGTTGCTGGAGGAATCACGATCAATTCGTGATCAATTAGACGAGTTATAAATTACTTGGGTTCATTTTTATAGAAGGGTAAATTCAGTGTAATCCTTCCAGAGACATACAAGCACAGTTATTATAAAAGGACTGATATGACAGACTCAGAATCCAATAGCTACACCAATAATATTACCTTACCTCCAAATGTATAACTGATCTAATCGGACTAGTGCTTTACTCGCAGCAGAGTTGCCAGTTAGTTACTGTAATTAATATTTAACAAACTGATACTATGTTGTACAGCAATTCGACAGTTACACTATATTCTTTCATTCTTAACTATATACATCAAGATGCAGAATAGTAAACGGCTAAAATGAACAACGTGTGATTTGACCTGAAGGTGCACGTTCAGAGCTCCATGCTGGCCGGTGGCGTCGCAGTCAGCGCTGTCGTCACCTCGACTCACGATCTCTGGGTCGCCATGACGATCGGCTTGTGCGCTACCCTTTTGTCAACTCTGGGATTTCGATATTTGAAGGTAGAATACATAACTGCGATAACTGTTCACAAAATGGATAACCACATTTTGTCAAACGTGCATCTCCTTGGTACTTTTTGGTTTTTAAAGCACTGCCATTTTTTTATTTTTACCCTGTATTTCAGTACTTGATTAGAATTCACTACTGCAAATCAGTGCCTAACTGAAATTCAGTACTATAATTCAGTATTCCACGATGATTCGGTAATATAATGAAGATCATTGTAATGAAATACTAGGCTGTAGTTATGAATTACACTTGAACACTACAGTTTCGTATTTCACTATAAAATCACTACTATAATTCAGTACTGATTACAATTCTGTATTTGATTCGGATTGAATTCGGTACTGTACGCGCGCTATTCGATTAGAATTCAGTACTACAATTCAGTATTGATTAGAATTGAGTGCTGTAATTCAGTATTATATTCATTCCTGTACTACAATTCAGTATTTGATTATAATTCAGTATTAACATTCAGTAAATGACTAGATTTCAGTACTAGATAATAAGTTCATTATCTGAATATAATGTAAGTACTACAATTGACTGATTCAGTTTTAAATTTAGAATTCAGTACTATAAATCAGTATTTCATTTGAATTCAATACTATAATTCAACTTATCTTCAGTAGTTTTGGTTTAGCTGTGTTAATCCTGATTTGTGTTTTATTAATGTCTCTGTCCCTCAGGACCATTTACTACTTGTTTTCGATTGCCACGATACCGGCGGGGTCCTGATTGTTCATGCAGTGCCAGGAATTCTGGGATGGTTTGCTAAACTCATCTTGCGAGTGACCAAGCTCAACTACACCCTGTAAAACACCTTAGATTTCCTATAATCATAAAATCACAAAAAGAAAAAGAAATACTGTACTTAGTTACCAGGTAAACTGTCTGAAATGACCAGTTTAATAGTCAAAACATGTTTACATTATATCTCGAACGTATATTCTGCACAATATAGAAACCTGTTTTTATGTTAAAACTTCCCTCTATTCATGCCTTTTTTTTCTTTTTCTTCATGATTCTTAGTGCTGTCCAGTTTGCGGTGCATCACATCTGTATTTTGCTCATCACAGTCTCTGTGAGTCTGATTATGGGTGTTATCACAGGTCAGTTTTAATCAGCATTCATTTTTCTGTTAGTATATGTCGAAGTTCTCGTATTATTTAAATCACTAATATTTTCATCTGTAGATTTGGTTTCAGTAGTGAAAACTAAATGTATTTATTTTATTAATCTGCTTGATTAACTTGATAAAGTAAGCTAGCTATGGCACTACATTTATACTGCATTGGTAGGAAAACATTTTAGGCTTGAGTCAAAAAAAGAGTAACTATAACTTATAACGTATAAGTAACGTATGACAGATCTGTTTGGACTAAACATTTTTGTATTTTTTTTACTATTTTTATTTTACTTTATTGCAAGTCCACATTACCTTTGAACAACTGCATGTAAAACCTGAAGAAAGATCATGAGATAGATCATAGATCTACATCATACAGATCAGTGTAGTTCTGTGCAAGACTTCTTATTAACCAATGTCTCCAACATTTAATGTACATTTCCTGGTAAACGTAGGGGTCAACATGTTGCTTCCTCTGACATGCATGTAGAAACTGTCACTCATATCCAAAATGTATATTTTATAGTTTTACTAGTACAATTCAGTATTTGCTTATATAATTCAAAACTGTAATTCAGTATTTGCTTATAATTCAGTACTAAAATTCAGTATTAGATTAGAATTCGGGGTTTATTATTCAGTATTTCATTACAATTCAATATTATATTTTAGTATTTGATTATCATTCAGTACTATAACTTGGTATTTCATTACAATTCAGAACTATATTTTGGTATTCGATTATGATTCAGTACTATAATTCAATATCTCATTAGTGTTCACTGTTATATTTCAAAATTCAATTAGAAAGCCCTTCTATATAATTTATTTGGTTTGAAATAAGTAATATATTTTGGTATTTTATTATGATTCACACTAGCTAGATTAGGTTTTGCTGTTAGAATTATAATTCAGTATTCAATCAGAATTCATTACTAGAACTTAGTATTTGATTTAAATTCAGTACCAGAATTCAGTATTTGATGCACGTTCCGTCAGCATTTTTAGCTCCAACAGACCTAATGAATGTGACTCAGTAGGTCATCGTCGTGACCATCAGACTTCACTTGTAAAAGCGGTTCTTGCACTTAGTCACACTACTAATAAGTTCTGTTTAGCCGTTAACATGCTCCGTACCCATGTTATGCAGAATTATGGACAATTTTTAGTATATATATTTGTCTTTTAACTACAATTTTATTACAGGACTGGTTTTGAAATGGAGCTTCTGGAAACCTCAGCAGTACAATAAGTACTATGATGACCAGGCCTACTGGGAGGTGCGTGGTTTTTTACTGTCGTTTTTCTAATTTGGGAAAATCTCAAATCTATCAAACATCTTCCTCAAAGTTGAATATAAATAAATGCAATTTGTTAGAAATCTACAAGTCAACATTTACTCTCTTTAGCCTATTTTTGCTTTTCGTCTTTTTCCAGTTCCCAAATCTGCAGGCGCACAAGTGAGACCGATGTCGATGACCCTGAGGAAAAATTCTAACAATATGAGGACTTGTGTATCCATTTTCTTTGTATGATGTATCTTGTGTTTGTGTGTACGCGCATTGGATTGGGAGGGTCGAAATAAACATTCGATCACGTTCAGTAGGATGAAAATGCATTCAGATATGGAGGGAG